GGTTTTTTCCTTTTTTTTTAAGGGAATCCTTAACTTACCCTTTAAAAAATGGGAGTTTCCTTCACATTACACAGCATGTGGGTTAGTGAAATAATGGGAAAATATTCCTAGAACTTCAGCCAGCACATGCTATAAATTTCATCACTTGTCTGTACTCTGATTGGTCTGAAGCTCCTTGAAGCCTTGTCCTCTTTCAATAAAGTCAAATGGACTCACCCGTCCACCGAGAACCACAGAATGGCTCTCTCCCAACAAGTTGCACTGGCTGTCCATACTTTTTTTTTTTTTTTTTTTTTTTTTTTTGAGTCAATATTGTTCGCTCAAGTTGTAGACGGATCCAGTGATCATAGAATAAGCATTCTGGAAGCAAATAAGATAGGGATCTCCTAGTGGAATGTTTTCTTGTAGTGGTATTAATGGTCAGTAATGCACATTACAAATTTGGATTTTTATCAATCATTTATTATCAAAGTTGATGCAATGATGCCTTTAGCATGATCCTTAATGCTGTTAGCTTGTGGTGAATAAGACAGTATCATTCATCTTGTGATTTCTTATTTTTGCAACTCTTACTAAATGTATTGTTACGAATTTGGTATTTAAAAAGCTAATGTTAGTTCAATTATAAATTAAATGGTTTTATTTCTCGCGCAGTGCAGCGCGTGACGAATATTAAAAGAAAGCTAAGCCGGAAAAATTAAAAATACAAGAGCGCGTGCATTAAATAAATAAATATCTCTTTTTGATTTCGAGAAAGTACTGGAAAATTCTAGCACGTGATTTTAAACTCTTATAAAAGGAGGAAAACATCTCAGTTTGTAGTAGTTGCTTAGTTTGTTGTTGTTTAAAAAACTGCCGTTGTTGATTATAGCGAATTCGCGGATTAGCGTTCTTTAGCTGTTTTGAATTACGTTACTATTGTACATTTAAGTAGTTAAAAGATAACTACTGTGAGATATTGTGATACTGCATGATAATTTGAGAAAATTTAAGCATTTTTGTTGTGATAATAATAAATTTTTGTTCATTTTTCATCGGACTTGTGCATTCATTTCATAACGAACCCGTACGCACGCAACAATTTTTGGTGTCAGGAGTGGGATTTGAATGCCAATAACAAGAGGGATGGAAGAACAATTGAGACAGCTTTGCTGCTTTCCAAGAAAAGATGGAAGCTGGCCAAACATCTTTTAAAGAAGAAATGAAATTGGGCCAGGAATCCCTCAAGGAAGAAATGAAAACGGCACAGGAACAAATGAAAGTTGGGCCAGGAATCCGTTAAGGAAGAGATGAAATCTCTTAAAAATGAGATGAAAGCAGGTCAGGACGAAATGAAAAGAGAAATTACCTGCGTAATAGAAAATAAATTTGAGGCTATGGAAGGCAGAATAGACGCGGTTGAAACTAAAGTTGGACAAATAGAAGAAAGAGTTTCTTCTGTAAAAGAACATATAGAAGAGAGAGTTTCTGCCGTCGAACAACAAATTGATGATAGGGTTTCTGCTGCCGTCGCCAAAGAAGTTGACAGCTTTAAAGAAGTGCATAGCGGACGGTAGAAGGAAACAATTCTGAAGGTTTTCAAATTTTTATCGATGCCTGCTCGTTCCGTTCTGCATGAAACTATTCTACATATGATGGGAAGACCTCCTGGCAGGTGTATAAGGACACAATTTTCTATCGTTGCGGATGCGAATGGATGGGGATTCCCAAGCTAAGAGCCTGTCATCTCGCCGCTTTCTTTCTGAGAGCAGACGCAGCGGATATCCTTGCAGACGCTTCCTGAAAATCAAAAGGCTAGATTTTCGAAGCTCTATCCGGTGCTTTGGAGCTGCGCTTCGGCGAGAAATGTTTAAAAGACTACAGCAGGCTTCAACTAAAATCCCGTCAGCAGAAGCCCACCGAAACATTTCAGGAGCTCGCCACGGATGTTGAAAGGCTGTCACATCACGCCTTTTCGGAGTGCCCGACAGAAACAAGAGAAATCCTGTCGCTGCAATATTTGATCGACGGCATCCGGGATCCTGAAATACAGAAAGCTCTTCGAATGGCAGATGCAAAGGACATAAAAAGCGCTCTGTTGTACGCCATGAAGTTCGAGGCAGCCCAGCAAGCAAGTAGTAGAGATCGCTACCCAGTTAGAGCTGTGCGAGTCCATGAGCCAGTGGATCAACTGATGGCGTTTAGATGATTTAGCCAGACAAGTCGAAGCTTTGATACGAAGTAGGAGCGAGAAGAAAGTGGCTCTCAAGGTGTTGGAGATGTGGTAGTGAAGGTCACCTAAGACGGAATTGCAGAACGCCCCAGGGTACGGAATATAAAGCAGATGATTTTACCAGACAAGTCAGTGGCTTGAGACGGAACAGAAGTGAAAAGAAACTAGTTCTAAAGTGCTGGAACTGCGGAGTTGAAGGCCACATACGAAGAAACTGCAAAACACCCCGAGGTACGGAAAATAAGACCATTTCCCAGCAACGACGCAGTAATCAAATTAGTGACCATATCGAGGAACAGAGGTTGCCAGATAATGAAAAACCTTGTTTTAAAGCGCTTAAAATTTATACAGTGAGTGGCAACAGTAACGGACTGTCCATTAATGGGAATATCGATGGAGTTCCTTGCAATATGATCATTGACACAAGAGCTAATGTTACCATCATTAGGAAAGATTTAGCTGAACAGTTTAAAGATAAACTTATTTGGACGCCATCCTGTGTTACACTTCAGACTGCGTCTGGTGATAAGATCGACATAACTGGGAAGTTAAACGTAAGCATCACGTTTGGAAGTGCCGCCTACCATCACACGGCATATGTGGCGGATATCACAGATCCATGCATACTCGGATTGGACTTTTTTAAGGAAATACAATTTTTCCTTAGACTTGAAAAAACAACAAACTGCTTTCAGCATCTGATGGCATGACTATCCATCCTCAAAAAGGATCCTCGCCTGGAAATGCCGACGCCTTGTCCGAAAGATCCAGCTCGGGAAGCTGCCGACGAACGCCGAAATCATACTAGGGTCGAAAAGAAACGCAAGACTACCAGCTCTTCTCCAGCCCAGATGCTCTTTGGTCGAGACCTTCGTCTGCCTTGTGACCGCCAGTTTGATCGCCGTACGGATGCGCCTTCATCGCCTGAGGAACACATCCAAGATGTCCAGGCCCGTTTTGAAGTGATGCCCCGTTTCGCACGAAAGCGAGTGAACTTGGCGACGGAGAAAATGAAGACCAGATGCGACACAAGAGCTACTAGACAGAGATCCAACAAAGGAGACAAGGTGTGGTTGTGGAACCCAATTCAACGAAAAGGACTGAGTCCTAAATTACGGTCACCTTTGGATGGTCCATATACAGTGCTGAACACGAATGACGTCGTGGTTCGGATCCGTGAGTCTTCGAACTCTTACGACAGGTTAGCTTATTACTATGGCCATAGTACATAATGTAAATAATTGTAAATAGTATAAGACCATGGTCCATTTTGTTTTTAAATGTGTATTTGATTTGTATTTGATAGCATTTGATTTGTTTTATGTATTGCATTTATTGTTCATGTTGTTTATTATTGTAATATAATGCTTATTAATGAATTTATGCCACAGTTGTAAGTTTAGCTTCCTGTCCAGGGATTGTACTGCCCGGGACGTGCAGTCCTTGGGAAGGGGGCAGTATTACGAATTTGGTATTTAAAAAGCTAACGTTAGTTCAATTATAAATTAAATGGTTTTATTTCTCGCGCAGTGCAGCGCGTGACGAATATTAAAAGAAAGCTAAGCCGGAAAAATTAAAAATACAAGAGCGTGTGCATTAAATAAATAAATATCTCTTTTTGATTTCGAGAAAGTACTGGAAAATTCTAGCACGTGATTTTAAAATCTTATAAAAGGAGGAAAACATCTCAGTTTGTAGTAGTTGCTTAGTTTGTTGTTGTTTAGAAAACTGCCGTTGTTGATTATAGCGAATTCGCGGATTAGCGTTCTTTAGCTGTTTTGAATTACGTTCCATTGTACATTTAAGTAGTGAAAAGATAACTACCGTGAGATATTGTGATACTGCATGATAATTTGAGAAAATTTAAGCATTTCTGTTGTGATAATAATAAATTTTTGTTCATTTTTCATCGGACTTGTGCATTCATTTCATAACGAACCCGTACGCACGCAACAGTATTATTTAAATCTAGAGATAGTTTGTTTTGAGCTCCCCGTACTTATAGTCTTTAAAACGTGTATTTTGCGATTACACAAGATGTTTTTCATTTCAGATAATAATCTGTTGATAACTGTATCAGCTTAACTGTTTATTCCATTAAAAAGATTATATTTTAATTGATTTCTTTTTTATGTCACCACTTATGTGTATAGTAGCATGGTTATATCATTCTATAATGATTTGTTTCCTAATAGTGACATATCAAAAAAGCTTAAATAAAATTTTTTAATCTTAAACATTTACAAGTATTAAAAATTGTGCATGCTTAATTATGTCAAAAGTTTTTTTGGGGAAGGGGGGAATTATCTGCTGCCTAATCTTCATACAGATAATGAAAACAGTAGGCTTATTTAGCTAGTTTTCATGAATGAAATTGAATTAATAATATCCAACAGTTTTGCCATAACAGATCTGAAAATGTTCCTTGCTATTTTTGTTGAATTGTATGCTTAATAATTTATGCATGTACAAGGTTTTACAAATAGGATTTTTATTGGTCTGAATACCATATTTGACGACATATAAGACGCACTTTTTTTCCTAAATTTGGTCACAAAAAAAGTTACCTGCGTCTTATACATGAAGGTAATTGCATCCAATAATTGTTTATTTGGCTTTTACAAAACATGAGAACTAAAAGAAACCAAGCTATTGAAACTTTTTTTTCTTGTGTGTGGCTGTCTAAATAAGGGTGCGTCTTATATGTCAACAAATACAGTAAATTATTTTCTATATTATATTCTCTATATATTTCTATATTATATAAGTTATTTTCAAAACTTTACAGAAACAACGAGAGAAGCTGTGCAACTGAAAACACATTGTTTTTCTTTTATCATCTTTGTTGTATTCTGTTGCTGCTGGTATTGGTAAAGAATGCATTTTAACTTGTGGCCGCTTCATTTTGTTGACTTCAATGACTCAAACTGCTTGAAGAGGCTAGAAATTTGTACTTTCAGTTCCTTGAATATTATAGAGATTTCAAATTTATTATTTTATGAAGATTTTAAATTGTGATATGAGTACATATAGAGAGAGAGATAGTATATGTATGATGCATAATACTAACATCTTGGTGAATGAGTTTTAAAATTTTTCTTTTATATTGCTAAATAACATTATTTCTTGAAATAAATAAAACATAACATTTGCATCACAATTATGATGCAATTTGTTACTCTGTAAAAGTTTTGAATTGAAATGCATTTTTGAATAATGTTATATATGCATTTTTAATTATGTATAAAGTACAAAATTATATTATGGCTTTTTAGAAATTGTAAAGTTTAATTTTTGAATATGGAAACTGTACAAAAGTTACATTATAATTTTTCATATGTTATTCAGATATACCATTGAGACAGAATTACAAATAAATATTTGTAAAAGTAAAAAAATTTTAATTGTAAATTTAGTTATTTAAAATAATGAGATCTTTTCTCATAATATATACATTCATACACACAGGAGTTTGATTTTCAAGCAGAGTTCAATGATCTGGTTAATTACTTAAGTCTTCAAAGCACCATGGATCTTCCATTAAAAACAAAACTGATTGTTAGACAGTTTATAAGGATTAAAAATTTTACTAAGAAAAACAAATATTGCTATTAATTCACTTAGTTAAGCAATATAAGTTATACACTTTCCATGCTGAATATAATGCTGCCTCGCAAATGCTAGCAGTTTGTCAAGCCATATGGATGATAAATACCTTGATAGCAAGGTTTAAAAAATGGGAAGACAGTTGTAGATGCTCAACATTAGATTATTTTTTTATCATTGCATTTTACTTTTTTTAATCTAAGCATTACTTCCAAGAACATTCATTAAAAAATTGTTTAATAATTTTTTTTTTTTTTTTTTTTTTTACTGAGATATTAAAAAGAAAGTAGTTTACAGTTAAGAATAGTTAAGTAAATGATCTGTGGAATATAAATTGAGAAATTACATTTCAAGTGATTCTAATAGAAAATGCCATTTAAAAAACTGAGCTTTTTAATTTTCAATATAATTTGAAATCCATACATTCTTCATAAAAATTTATTTATAATACTTTTGGACTATTTTTGTAACAAGATGCATATTTTTGAAATAAAACAATGTAGTTATTTGTAAAGCTAAAATTTTGGCTCTTGCTTTTATTTTATTTGCCTATCCCCAACAGAAATCCCTCTCTTTGAAATTGTAGCATTCCATAAAAACTTATTTTCATACTTATCTTTAAATTCAGTCTCAGTACTAGAACAATATACTGAATTATTTTCTGCTAAAAGTTTAATACATTTATTGTACCTCCCTTAAACTGATGAATATGGGTAACCTGTTTGAATGAATTAGACACACAGAATTATGAAAAAATTTCAAATGTTTATTATTGTGAACTACAAATTACTATGACAAAATTATTCTTGAAAATAACATACTGTAGATTGTAATCATATATATTCTTTCTAGCGTAAACAGAAAAAGAAGTAGTGAAATTAAGGATAAAGTATTTCTTGAAGAAAAAACTGCCCTATAATTGCAACTTATATCCAGATGAAACCATATGCTAGTTACAGTGTAGTTTCGAAGTAAAATAGATCACTATTTTTAAAATTTATCAAACACTAAACTATCAGAAGTAAATTCCATTTAAGCATACAAATGGTTAAGAGATACTAGAGTTACATTAGCAGTTCTAATTTTAATAATTAGTCTAACTGCATGGAATAGTACTTTAGATGTACTAAATGAAAGCAAATATCCATTGGATGAAACAGTGATGCTGTGTGCTCTTGCCTGAAAAGATCGTCCTGTGTAGTATGTGTGTACATATGCACAATGCAGCATTCTGTTCTTTATTTATCTTTAAAGTAATTTCTTCCTGTTTTGTTCTATTCCATGATCAAAATGGAAAAATATGTATGCAAATTTTTTATAAATGGCATAATATTTGTCAGATCTTAATTTTATAACTTGTAGAAAAAGGTAAATGAAGTATTGTCATATTTTGTTAAGTACTGACATAGAGAAAATATGTTAATTGTATTATAAGTATGCAAGGGTATTTAGAATTTATTCAGAAACGTGGTTAACTGTACATGTATTTTGCACTTTATTGTGTAGATACTGTAATATAAAAATGTATAAAATTAAATAAAATGGAAACTTTTATTATAACTATATAAATAAAATAGCTATTTTGTCTTGAATAAATTATCTTAATAGAAAACATTTTATTAATTCTTTTGTACTTTTTCTTTGACAAATACTCTTGTAAATTACAAATCTAAATATATGTCGCATGAAATAAAATATGAATCAATGACAAAAGATGCTTATTTCTTTCTCACCTGTGTATTTCTTGGCCTTTAAAAAAAAAAAAAAAAAAAAAATTATAAAATTTAAGAATTTTTTTAAAATCTAGAACTATTTTACCTGGATATATTTTTAAAAAGAAATTTTTTGAAACACATTAAAATACGTACATACAAATGCTTTAAAATTTCATTAACTGAATCCTTTAAATAAGCTTTATACACATGCAAACCATATATTTATGCATGGAATTCAGCTGCTGCAACTTCAACATCATTAGGAATGATGGAAGCCATCTTAAAAACATTATTTCGGTGAAGAAATGAAATATAAAGAAAAAATTCAGCAGTGGTTGGCCGTTGTGACAAATTTTTCCTGGATAAAGTCCTAATAGAAAGTTCTAGAAAAATTTAGAGATGCATGATTAATGGCTAAAATGTTGGTGAAAATCGAAAAAATGCGTTAATGGTATCAGAAGAGAATAAACACATTTTGCAGGAATATTGTGATGAATTTTTTTTTATTTCGATAAATTTTAGAAAAAGTACTGAAAACAAAATTATTTTTATTTTCTAATTCTGAAAAGTCATCCCCCCCCCAATGATTTTCGTTATTCAAAAATATGGAAAACTTCATAAACGACTCTACGAAGAATTTGTAAAAAAGAGCTTTCTGTTAATAAAAATAATCAAATGTTAAAAGATATTCATCACAGATTTCTGAATGCATTATATTTTATTTCTAAAGGTATTTCTCTTATTCCTGAAATTACTAAAGAATGAAATTAGCAGCTTTTTTCCTCCGCATTCTAATATTTATTTAAAACAACAAAAACCTCGCATTTAATTTGAAAAATCAAAGATGCAGAAGAACTGATCTTACAAAGTTGAAGAATTGTTTTCCAACGACATACTGAAGATAATATTAACAAAGAAACGGATGTTGCAAATGAAGCAATGACTAGCAGGAACACTGATTTTTTTATTAGAAAATACAGCTAAAAAGAATGAAATGGATAACAGTGAAATTAGATATTGAAAAATTCCAGATTGAAATGAAAATACGTGACTATTTTTAATCTTTTAATGTAAATTTTTTCTAATATTTTGAAACCAACGTAGTAAATTATATGCACACTGATCTTTCACTTTAAACTGCAAAATTTTCTTATATCATGGTTTTAATGATTTATATATATTTCTTTATTATTGTTTTTTCAATGGTGACCCTGAAAATTTAAAAGATGTGCGATTTTAAGTGTAAAAAAAATATATATAAATGTTTCAAAAAATTATATTCATAATTTTAAAACTTTTAGGGAATTTGTTTTATTATTAACATTGTTTTAGAGTTATGTTAAAATACATACTACACATTGCAAGAGATAAATTGGTTGCATAGATAATGTTTCAGTTAATCCAGATCCATTTATAAAACAAATTATATAGCCTCTTTTTTTTTTCACTGGTAGTCCTGAATTTGCATTCAAAGAAATATGTAGAAACAATGATTAAATTAAAAGAATTTATTATCCCAGATGTCATTCTGCCAGTTTGATTAATTTCTTGCTTTAATATTTTGGTATGCAAACAGTTGCTATTTAATTTTTTTTTATTATTATTTACAGTATTGTAATGATTTAGAAAAAGTATTTTTCCATTCGTTTTACAGAATAAATATTATCAAATGAAGTTTCATCAAGTAGAAGTCTTGAACATAAATACCTTATATAATGTAGGAAAAAGATATAACTACAGTACAAAGCCTGTAATCCAGACACGTCAAGACTTCGGCGATTCCGGATTATAGATCAACAATTTAAATCTGGTAAGATGGCATGCAGAAATTATATAATTAAAAATATGAAACCGTAATTTATGAAATAAAGAGCAATTATGATCTAAAGGGTATCAAAATTTATCAAAAAAAAAAGGGGGCTTAATATTTATTTGCTTACTTTATTAAACATTTCTTTCAATTGTTTAAGTTGCTTCATTTTTTGTGCTAATACTTTCTCTTTAATTCTATAAACAGACATAATTTCTTGTTCAGTTACAAAGTTCCACTCTTCAAGTCCTATAATTGCTGTGTCGAGTATACCAACTAACTTGTGAATAAAAATTTTTTCATTTTCAATAACCTCTCTGTCACTTTCTTCACTATCGGAAGTGGTACTTACTGGATCTAGAACCATACTACAGATTTTACCGTCCGTTAATTGATTGATGATTGGGGCATTGTCGTCGCAATGAAAAACTTCTGTTATATCATCTTCATTTATTACCGCTTCTCCACATTTCTTTACAAAATCCAATAACTGGAAAATTTCAGCTTTACTTTGCGATGTCCTTAAAACTTCAGATTCGCAACTATCGTCTTCATCGTCCTCACCATGAAATCTGGTAGCTGGCTATAAATTATGCCAAGCATTTTTTAACGTATCTCAAGACACATCCTCACATGATCTTGCGATGCTTCACACAACAGGTTTTATGCTAAATTTCAATAAGTCTTGAATAGTCTTGCCATTGTTCAAGAAATTTAACATAGATTTTTAAAATGCTACTTTATATTTGCATTTCAGCATGTGCACTATTCTCACATCCATAGGCTGAATGATAGACGTACAATTTGGAGGGAAGAATAATACGGATACATTATCTTTCCCTAAAACTTTAAGTGAAGTATGCGCCGAATAGTTGTCAACAATCAGGACTATCTTGAGTCATCAGGTAAACCAACAGAATTCAAATGTCGCCGAGCCTCGGGTATAAAATGATTTTCAAACCAATCATTCATCAACGCTTGTGTCATCCATGCTCTTTTATTTGCACGATATATAACAGAGAAAATCGTTACTCCTTTAAATGCTCGAGGTTGTGCATGTTTTCTGATTATGAAAAGTTTGCACTTGTGTGTTCCTGCAGCATTTGCGCACGCTAAAATTGTTAATCTCTCTTTGGAATCTTTGATGCAAGGTAGAGCCTGTTCTGTAGAGGTTGCCAGGGTATTTCGTGATACATATTGCCAGAAAAGACCAGTTTCATCAGCGCTGTAAATTGGTTCTGGAGATAATTGTTCACTAGTAATGAGTTCAATGATATCATCTGCAAATTGTTCAGCAGCTTCAGTATCAGCTGAAGCTTTCTCATGTGAAATTTTTTATTGTCTTATACCATGGCGATTTTTAAATTTGGCGAATATGTGCACTCGGTGCTTAAGTTCATTTGTTCGTGAAATATTTTGGCTTGAGCCATTAGAATTGGACCGTCAATGGCACGCCTTCGCTGTGATGCTGTCTGACCCATTCAATCATCACTTTGTCATGATCGTCACTTTTAGCATAATTAACCCTTTTTCTGTTATTCATTACAAGTGGGGTGTCGTCAGAATCCACAAAAAAAGCGTAAAAAAAAAAGGAACTTTTTGAATATGTCATATACAGTTGACTTTCCAATGTCATACTCCTCGCATAATTTTGAGACAGATATGCCTTTATCCATTTTTTGGAGCCTTTATGAAATTTACTTTTACCGTGAAGAAAACAACCTTCATCAAAATGCCAGGAAGATCTAAATGACTAATGATGAGTTCCTAACTTGCATTTTCAATTTGTTAAGGAAAAAAAAAAGAAATTCTGGCAAGTCAGCTATTTTCAGATTGTGTATTTAGCCTGCATGCAATTTGAATTTGAGAACACTGACATATGCAGTTAAATATGGGTTGATTTATCGTTTTAAAATAACAAACAATGTAACGAAAGCATTTCAGAAACTGCTCACATTGTTAAGATAAGGTACCAGTAATGTTACCTAACAACTGCATGTTTGGTCAAGTAACCAGTAGTTAACAGAAAGCTATCTAAATACAGCACATCCCTAAGATCCAGGCATCAGATTTTTTTTGTTAGTTTTTGTTTCTGCTTCTTCAAATTTAAAGTAGCTTACATTCAAACCAATTTGCATGCCGATTCTGGCCATACAATAATCATATAAGTTTGTGGTTCCAAAATGTATCTCCAAATATTTATACGAAACTTTGACATACATGCGCAAAATAGTATAAAAACATTTAAAAAGTATGGTATAAAAAATATTTAAAAAGAAATTTATAAAAATATTCATAGACCCCTAAAAAATTCCCCCTAATAAATTCAATACGTTAAAAATTAAATACTGTCAAAAGTCGTTAATCCGGACTCATCGGGACTTCGGCGATTCCGGATTATAGATCATCAGTTTAAATCGCGTAAGATGGCATGCAGAAATTCTAAAATTAAAAATATGAAACCGTAATTTATGAAATAAAGAACAATTATGATCTAAAGGGTATCAAAATTTACAAAAAAAAAAAAAAAAAAAAAAAAAGCTTCATATTTATTTGTTTACTTTATTAAACATTTCTTTCAATGTAAATTGTTTAAGTTGCTTCGTTTTATGTGATAATACTTTCTCTTTAATTCTATAAACAGACATAATTTTTTGTTCAGTTACAAAGTTCTGCTGTTCAAGCCCCGTTAATTGCTGTGCCGAGAATACCGACTAACTTGTCAATCGAAATTTTTTCGTTTTCACTAACCTCTCTGTCACATTCTTCATGTCTTTATCCATTTTTTGCAGCAATTCCACTTTTTGTGTGATGGACATCGAAACATGCTTTCACTTTTTAGATCCTTTGGCAGCTCCAGAATTGGAAACTCTTTTTGATATAATTGAAAGTTCAAGCTTAATTTTTATAAAATTGCTCTAACAGTCTGCAAAAAATAATAAGCCGGATCCAATTAGAAGATTGAGGAACAACGCAATCTGCAACATTAACTGAAACGCCTTAGAATCAGTAAAGATAATTTTAGTCTAGCTTATACCGTGTTGCAATTTATGATCTTGTTTTCTTATTTGTATTTTCTTACTCTTATTTTTAACAACATTTGATAAATGATTTTTTCTTACCTTTCTTGATGAATATCTGCAGGAACGTTTGAAATTCTTTTCCATTTTTGGTTTTCATGCAGAAAC